AGAGCTATGGTAATTTTTGGTAGGGTAAATTCACTCTTTCTCTACCTACCCCGAGACTAGAGGTGGCAACTTGGTGTACAAAGAATACAAATTGCTTATACATGTATACTGGACAGAATGAAAATTGTTGTTGCCGTATTAAGGGAGAATGTTTTGTACAGACTTGAAGAATTAATTTGTGTCGACCATAATGGCACCATAATAAAGCATTGATTTGCTTACGAAGTGTCAGTTATTTTTACTTAAAAGAGCGAAATGTGGTCGAAGGGGGATAATTTTCTTATCAGTGTGGTCTGTAGTCTAGAACTAGAAGTTTAATTATGAAACAGATTTTTATTTTGTTAACATGCGTTTTTGCGTTCCAATTGTAAATTAAAAACAAATCTACTACAGAAAAACCAAAAGCCTATGTACATTGAGACTTACTGTCTGACTACATTGAGCTTTGAATTGAATTTTTTTTTTCATTTCATAAATATTCAAGATATAATTTTCTACTTTATGCCATTTGTCTTGTAATGTCTTCGGGTCCATAGAAATATCAGGTTCAATGATTTTACTTTTGAAATAGACACACTTACCTCCCAGAAAATTCAAGTGAAAATGACCAACTTTTCCGACTGAAAATTCACCTCTGTAAAATCATGTTTACTTGCAATAACTTTTCGAGTGGTTGACATTTTCATCAACCCAAAGACAATGTAATACTCTCAGTAGTATTTTGTAATTGATAGTTCAATTCATATGGAAATGATTGCCAAACTTCAATTCAGATTTTAGTCAGAGAGTAAATGTGTTGGTCGTATCTCGAGTTGCAGGTCACAGCCCTTATTTTGATTGATTTTATATGAAAAACGACCTGTTTGGTAGGTGTTGTAAATTGTTCACAACAAACCCCTGGGGTTGGAGTAGGTGGTAGGGGTGCCTTTTCGTGACTTTTGCCATCCTCTGATATGTACTATTGACGAATATCGTCAGCCGATAACTGTCAAAAATATCACCAGAGACAGTTTCGGACTATATTATCTGATTGATTTTCATGACAATGTTACATTAATTTAGACAGATAAATAGATAAATAAATTCATTACATATTATAATATAATACTGTCCTGTATATAATTGAAACAGCTTGCAATGAATGAAAATATATTTATCTGAATTTGTCATTGGAATGTATTAGATTATTATTTAGATTTCTTACCAGATTGTTGTTGTTATGTAAACAATGGAGAATCCTTTCCTCGAAGCATAGTGAATACGAAGCTCGTGCAATAGTCAGTCGAGTCGACTACAAGAAAAGGGGTGATGGCTCTCACAAAAATATTCACCTTGTTTGTGGTGATTTTCACCGAAGGTGCGGACCTATTTACTTAAATCGGATCCTAAAAACCCAGATATATTCTATAATTCTAACAAAACTCATCTTTCGTCGGCCTTTTGAGACTGCTTGCACAACCAAAACTTCAAAAGGTCACAAGGTCAAGTGATACTAACAACACGAAAGTAACTGTGATGCATAACACTCTAGTCTACAGCCATCGTAAAGGCTATTTAATTTTAATATGTTCTTTTAAAACAAGCTCCTTCAGAGATGTGTAAAATCCCCCCAAAACGGCCTAGTTTTTCTTACTCTACTCCTACTCTACTCCAGCCTACTCCAGTCGACTACTGTCCAAATATCTACCTGTATATCATCCAGTTGACTACACTGTCCAAATATCTACCTGAATATCATGGCTAGCGGCAGTCCGAAATAGCCTCTGGAGTTGCTGTCTGAATAGCTATCAGAGGCTGGAATAGAGACAGATGTTTCGGTCTAAGCTTACAAGTAAACTAAAAGAGACGAGACGAGTTGTTCTGTCCAGTTCAACCTTCCATCAGGAGAAAACAATCAATAAAGAATATTCTAAATTTGTGTTTTGATAATTAACTATATAAGTTAAAACATATAATATACACACAAAAACAATGTAGGACTTGTAAAGTTTTAAAATCAAGCGTATAAAGTTCTAGTAATATCAAGATTGGTTTTCTCCTTCCTCATTCGCTTCTTTGCTCTTTTCTTCCTGGTTCTCGGCAGTGTCTGTTCCATTTCTTCTCGATGTCGAGTCTCAGTTTCTGTTACAACTCCTTTAGTCTGGAATAATAATTGTATACTTTAATTGCATTACTGTTCCGTTTAACAAACTGAAAACTGACGGAATGACAAGTTGACCAACTCAATTTCAATGAGGTGATCTCTGGTGTTCTGTAACCTTGTATAACTGTGAATATGTTAAATAAAAAACAACACTTCCTTACCCAAACGTAGAATGCAGCAGCCCCTGCGCTTTTAATTCGGACATCGTTTAGAGTTATTTCCCCTAACATTTTCTTGGCACCAACAGCAACATCGAGTTGTAATGAGTTTATATCAAATGCTTGAATCAGACGTTTTATTGATTCTGATCCAGTTTTACCCATTATGTGCTGTACTCTGTTCCAGTTCTGTAACAACAATATTACAATCATAGAATTAAAGCCGTCATTCAATCTGGCCCTCTTAGCTTGAATGTATCTAACAACAACGTGACCATAACCCTGTAATCAGCACCATTAAGTAATTTTCAGTCGTCTAAGATCATGCGTCGTATGGTTATTACTTACCGATGTTTCGTCTTCATAATAGCCGAGAAGCAATAAAGTCGCCATGATGACTCTGTGGACAATTTCTGGTGGATGAGAATAAGCTTTGATTTCAGATACGGTGTTATTATCTAAATCCAGAACAGCATGTAGTAATCCAATAATATGGTCATGCCGAGCCAGGAATCTTTTAGCTGCTTTCACTTCATCTTTCATTCGTTTGGTATAGTTCTTTTCGCTAATGTATCTTAAAACATCTCTCGTTCTCTCTATATGTCTAAAGTTCAATGCCTCAACTAATCCTATAAAAAAAAACACATGGAAAGGTCCTTTTTATAGTAAACATGAATGAAAGGACCCGACTGTCGTCAAAAAATGAATGAAAGGTCCTTAGTATCGTCATTATATGAATGAAAGATCTTGAGTATCGTCAACAAATGCATGAAAGGTCCTGAGTATCTTCAATATGAATGATAGGTCCCGAGGATCGTCGTAAATGTAGCAAAGGTCTTGAGTATCGTCCACAAATGAATGAAAGGTCCTGAGTATGATCAACATTATGTAACTAAGGTCTTGAGAATCGTCAACAAATGAATAAAAGGTCCCGGGTATCGTCAATAAATGAATGAAAGGTCCCGAGTATCGCTCTCAATTGATTAGCGCTCACAATTGATTAGCACTTTGAGTATAGTCAACAAACTACTAGAAGGTCTTTAGAATCATCAACAAATGAATGAAAGGTCTTGAGTGTCGTCTACAAATTAATGAAAGGTCCTTAGTATCCTTAACAAATAAGTGCAAGGTCAGTATAGTTAAGTCTTTCATAGTTCGCCTGACTGTTAAAATGAGTCCCAGAAAGTGGTTTATCAGTAGTTGAAAGATATTTACTTACTGTTTGCAGTACGAATAATATCAAGCTCATTGTTCACTATGAGCAATAAAGATTGAGCCCAAGCCTCGTCTTTCTTCTTCTTTAGCTTGTTACCTATCATCTCCAGCTGATCTTCATCATGAGCATCTACTGCGATTACTACAGCTCTCCTCAATATTTCCTCTTCACTTTCTGAAATGTATATGAAGATTAATTTTTGCTGCCTCCATGAAGAAGAACAAAATCGATATGCCTCTTGACTCGTAGTGAACAAAAGTGACCAATAACCATATGTGCAGAAAGGAGGACTTACGTGTATTTGAAAAAAGTCCTACCGGACGACTTAAGCAACGAATTCTACATTCAAATATTTGGATAGAAAGATCTATATTGTTCTGGTTTGATATAATTCTTTTTATGTAACAAAGTTTTTACCTTCAGAATGGATAGATAAAACCGATATCGGAACAAGCTCAACAGGAACACCAGAACTATAAGTGATGGCATAATCAAAGATGGGGTCAATCATCTCCATTTCGGAATTTTTAACTCCTAGTTTGAATCCAAATACGCCTGATTTAGGGAAGGTCAGTGTGTAGGTCACAGTCTCGCCCTCCTTCCTGTCCTCAAAACAATGAATAGCATCGAATTTCTCATTGGAGACAAAGCTATGATATAATTGTTCTCCGGACTTATAATCGAACATTAGCACAATTTCTTTAGAATCTGTTGCGATCACTGCTGATGGGTAAGATATTGGTTTAAGTTTCACGCGATCACATTCCTTCCTTTTGCCAATTCTTTGATTAAGTTCGTCTGGGAAAATTTCGTTTCCATGTCTCTGATTTGATATAACGTAATAATTACAGAAATTTTCTTTACTTCCATCCTCCATTTCTAAATAAAGTCTCCAAGAATATTCTCCCTTGCGTGGAGTTTTCACATTGAAGAAAAGTTTCTCATCCTCCAGCCTGTAGACTACTGTATTGGGAATTTCCATGCCAATGGAATCAAACAAACGACTGGTAATTATGGCGTCCTCGAACTTTTCTGTGTTCTCCATTTTGAAAGAGATTTGTGCATCGCCTGTTGTGGTTGTCCGAACCTCGCCTGTTTTGTTACTAATTGGTATAAGTCCGATTTTATGAGTGTGTGACGCAGGACCCCATCCGCTGTCTGGATGATCGGGGAATATCTGTCTGTTATCACTACCCCTTTCGAAATTGATTTTATATGTGATTATCCAGTCGTAATCATAGTTTGGTCTAATAATTCGGACATCACGACCTACAAGTTCAAGACGATAAACACCGGCTATCGGTGCTCGGACATTCAAGCTTAGAGACTTCTCTATCGGCCGGTGCATGAACACATTTCGGTTGTATTGAGGTGTTACGCGATTGTTGCTGTCCAACTTGTACAGAATGAACTGGAATTTATAATGCAGGCCATCTTGCGGGGGAACCCCGAGCAGCACCTCAAGGTCACCAGATTTAGAATCAATCACACACTTTTTGTGGGAATCTAGAGACATCCCGAGTTCAAAAAAACGATCTTTCGTATTGGCACAAGATTCAAATTTGTTGATCGTCCATGGATACTGTAATAGCTGCCATTCAGGCACTTCCGGATAATGGGAGTAGATCATCTCGGACGGATCCGTAAGGAAGTAATTTTCATCACAAGTATAAGTTAATGTTTTGTGTGAACTAGATCTGGATTCTAGACGATTTTGACTTTTAACTTCATCTCTCGGAGTTTTTACTGTGTTGTCTATGAGCAGACGTACTGTATTGTCTTTGGATTGAGGAGCCTCAGAGACATGGATAATATTGGGCTGCTTCGGATCTTCTTTCGGGATAACCATCTGCTTCACTAAGAATCCATCTTCATCTTCTTCTACCTCATCGATTTGTTCCTCGATAGCAGCACATGCTCCCCAATAGGCATCCACAAATCTCCAGACTCCATCGATCAGCACCGCATTCCATTCTCCGTAGTGTTCATCCTCGAACACAGATTGTCCAACCTGATATGATGATCCTTTTAAACGACCATGGATGATAACACAGGGTATTTTTGCTGCTCTGGAAAAGAAGTGTGTGGAATGTTATGAATGTGGACATTGAATCTTGTTTGAAATTTAATAGGCTGTTATGTTAAAGAAAAAGGCACATAAGAATTAAAACGTACCGACATAACTTGGAGAACCACTGAGAATAGTTGCCCTCGCTGTTCTTGATCGCCCAGATGTGGTAGATTGGTTTATTGGTACTTGGTTTATTTCTGGGTGCTAGCATCATGTCGACTGGCTGAGCAGTGATCCAGCGATACAGAGCCCTGACTAAGGCTAGAGTATTGTCTAAATCTCCAGTTAAATACTTAACCAGTTCCTCATAGGGTCTATCCAGCAGATAGGCTGGTGCCTGGAATGGAAATAACACTTGATTATCGTGACCATGTGTAAACAGGATACACCTTAAAATATAGGCTACTTAGCATTATAGATGTTGTGGCAATGATCCACTAGGTTTTGGGGGAGGAAACAAGGTTCATCTTTTACATCCATGTAAAGTTTAATACTGCATTGTCAAGTGGTACAATATAATGTTTATATTGTTTATATGGTACAATATAGTTAAGCAGGAATAGTTACACATAGAAATGCTTGATAGGTATTTTGACAGTTATTGACCATTCCACAACTTTCAATATAGCTATTAGAGCTTGGAATAGAGGCAGATGTTTCGGTCAGATACCATTGGTCTAACGCATTTGGTCATTTTGTTGAACAATTTGATCCTATCGACGGAGTTATATGATTAATGTTTAACATACCTTCGATGCTTTGTCATCAACAGCCTTATAGTCCAACTCTTTAAATATGGCTGTTTTACTGGAAAACTGTTGCTTTGGTGGAGGAATAAGCTCAAAGACTTTTTCATTTTCGGAATAACTTGCATGTGCAGCAGAAAAGATAAAATGCGGTTCTATTTGGTAGGTAGCTATGATACTCTGCGAAGGTACCTGAATAAAAAGAAAGAAGGGCACGATTTCAAATACTTATCAAAACCTGGCTCTGGTACTGATTTAATGCTGATTAACACTTCTGAAGAGTCTAAACGAGTGTCATTTGTAGTCTGTAGTTTTCATAATTTTGTAAAGTTATTTGCCTTTATTTTTAACTTGATAGAATTGCTCCCGATAAAATTTATCACAAATTAACGAAGTTCGAGAAAAGCTAACTTTTCTGGTCGAACCTGGCATGCATCCAGTGGAACTTACAAAAGTATAATCCTTACCGTTTTTGAAACACCGCTTCCCATTTCGAAGTCTGCGTTTCAGACATGAGCCTTCACAAACAAAATTCAGTAAAGTTTTGGTTTTATCTACAAATTCCACAAAGAAATCGTTTTCCCCACTTTAGCTATAATATATCCATGCTTTTTATTATATACGTCACTTCCTATCAGATTTTGCCTTTGTTCATATCCAAATCAAGAAAAAATGTCTATTTTCACTAAATGTTCAAAAATCCATCAAAAGTTTTTTCACGAAGATCGAAAGTTCTGATCTCTTTCACGAATCTACAAGAAGTAAAATCTGTTTCCATTGAAAATACGGTTGTTAATGACGCGTGATTTGGTAATCCTATCATACACCACGGCTAATCTTGTACAAGGAGATTAACTAATCTTGTTATGTAGCTATAAGCTATAGAGGGGATAAGTCAATTAACTAAAATAGGACTGTTTATGGTGTTGGTTTTGTTTGATGAATTTGGAAATGATTACTCTTAGAAATGATAGGGTAGAGGAGTGCAATCGCTTTATGATTATTGCCCTTTTCATACATGCAGCATGGCGTTTTTGTTACTTAATGACACCATCACCATTTCTGTTTATTTTGGGTCGCTTTGCACATGGTTGTATTATATAGTTATTGAATATTATTGAAAAGATTACATCGCATGCTTTATGTATTTTGAGGCTAGGGGAAAACTTGCAGAAATTGTTGACTTTACTCGTAAACCACTGATTCCAAACAACAAGACGTGCTTGTTACACTCTCTAAGGGTACATCATTAACAATTGTCAATAGTATAGTGTTTTTAATTATCAACTTTGCCAATTGGTCTAACTACCAATGATATTCTCGGTTGTTTCTGTCTAATGGAATGCAAAGAAAAGCCAATCAGCAACAAGGAGTCTTAAGATTCGCCAAGATGGACAAACTACATGTACACTAATTTGAAACTGATCGCACACCTCTAGTTAACAGTAGTTTAATATCATATCTCGGTAGTCAAAACAGTTACACTTCAATGATCCAATCTCTGAGAAAACATAAAAATACACAAAAAGGACAAGTATTTCTGAAGGATCGGCGACCTGATTGTCAACTTTCGTGACCCTTGTACAAGACTCTCGTCAGTACAGGTGCTTACGAAATTATCGTTAGCAATTGACATGTTTTGTGCCAGAGCTAAGAACAACGGCATGTTCAAAACAAACACCAAGGTTCTGATCTGGAATACGATGGGACGCCCTGTAATCGAAAAGGTAGTTTGACAAAAATCAATCATGTTTTTCAAACTGCTTTAAAAATGCTACCGTTCCATATATTAGGTTAGGTACCGGTTCGCTATTAAGAATCCAATATGAGTTGGGGTATCACGAAGTCTTCTGTGGATGCCCTTATACCAAGCCCATAGACATCAACGGAAACGCCGTCAAGACAAATATTTTTGAAAATCGAATAAAATATACCATTTGAAAAGCATTCTTGAGAATGGCTCTACCATTAATAATATACACACATATTAAATTCCTTTTAGTTGTTTTCAAAATATAAATGAGTATGTTTTGAAATTCGGCTCCTGTGATATCAATGGATGTTAATAGACCATATACCTATAAGGATCTCATTCAATAGAAGATATACTCGGAGAATTAGCCAGGACTATTTTCAAGTGTTTACCCTTGTCAGATCTGTTTATTAACATTACAGAGGAATTTACTATTTCTATTGTAATGAATATAAAGATATTATTTGAATATTGAATGGTATTAAAGAGGGTATATAGGAGAAACTAGAACTCTTAATCTTATTCGCCTGATGAATGAAACGTTGTTAATAAGAAAAAGAATTAACCTTAAATATTTTTTTGGGATATTTTTTATGATGTTACTTTTATTTCTTTTTAAATAACCATCTCTGAAGGGCATACTCAGAATATGTATCATCGGTTTATTAACGGATCATATTGCACGGTTATACATAGATATAGAAGTTTTTTTATGGACCAATGAGTTTGACCAAATGAAAAAAATAAAGTTTATGCAGTCCTGGCATGATTGTGAAGGTAATTAAGATAGCTAGAATATCTGAAATTCTGCAGAAAGACTATTTTATGCAAATTCTTAATCGCATATTATGTCAGCATAATATTATGGACCCTACCGGGTAACTTCTTTTACATCGAAATCTACTTGTTCTTGATATCTGAGAGCATACATTCCAAACACGACATAGTTGATGAAGTAAAATTTTTTAAATAATTTTACACCTGCCTGGCATAACGTGTAGGGATTTAATTTTAAAGTGCGTGTTTGTTCATCGTTTTCAGTCTGAATTTCTAAAAATATTTTCATAAACATGTTACGTCCTCAGAACTTTTTGAGGGGAGACTGGGGTTCGTAGTACACCAAAGAATAACCCCAGCAGAAAAGTCCAGGCCTAATATTCAAAATACCCATCAGTATAGGTAACTGGTGCAGTATTGTATGTTAAGCCTCTTCATTCCTTTGAATTGGCTGGGGTGGGTCAATCAGTCACCAGGGTATGAACTGGAAATTTGTTTAGAAATGACAGAACGATTTCAAAATTAAAAGAAAAACTGAAAAATATCATATAACATTGTAATCATTTTCAATATTCTATAGGAAAGATCGAGTTCAGTCGATCACTATGACAAAGGCAGATTCCCATATCCAGTATGTATAGCCTATATTTATGGGCATGCTTTTAGCTTTCAAGAATATATGAATACATCTAAATATCATCACATCACAATGTTACCGTTTCCTGTGTATATTGGGGGAATTTGGGGTCAATCGGCCAACAAGGCATTAGGTTTTTGTAATATGTAAATGGAAGAATGATAAAATATTTCACAAGTGATTGCTATAAAATTTGAAATTGGGGGCCAAACGGTCAACAGGGAATGAGACCCCTAAATCTCTTGAGCTCCATTTTATGACAGAATTTCAAGGACATACACAATGATTGACAAATTTACAAGTGATTGTTACTAAATCAGCAATTTGAAAATGAAAAGTTTGAAGGTCAAAAGGTCAAAATTGTCGTCTGGTGCTGTGATATTTAAATGGTCGTAGCGGATTACCCTTAATCCAAGTCACACTTCTACACTGCATATTATTGACATGGAAATCCCCAAATCAATAAATTATCCATTCAACTATTGTCACGTCTAATTACAAATCAAACTTGGTCGATTTACTGTCACTTTTCAAGGTCAATATTTTGAAATCGGCTTTAGAAAGTTTCAACTTTTCAACCTTGCTATCTCTGCTTGATCACATAGCAGGGGATCGTCTTGAAGAAGTCTTCTATCATCTAAACTCCATCGGAACACCTGATGCTACTCAACAATTAGCCAAATCCACAGATCCCTGTTATAGAAACCGTATTGTCCCAGAAACGTACTATATAGGTTTGATCAATGTTTCTAAATAAAAACAAAAACATAGGATCAACAATGAAAATTGTACACGAGTTAAATAAAAAATATTACAAATGCTGGTAATCGGTGTATCTCGCAATAGAATTATCGTTCAGGTTGACTACGGCGGATCTAATTAAATGCTCGAATCGCCTCTAGAGGCTGTATAACACCATCCACCAGCAATGCAGTATCCACAAACAATCAAATAAACAAATGATAATTATAAACAATTTATAACCAAATTATAGCAATTAATTAAGAATGGTTGTAGAAATCTGAGTAAGATAAATATTGATCTAGCTGTTATTGATCACTTGATATTGATAGATTGTAGTTGATAAAGTTAAAGTGGCATTGTCTGGTTTTAGCCGGAGGTTCAGCTGAATTGGGTAATATGAGTGACTACGTGTGCGTGTATTAAAACGGGAAATGGCATTTTTGTGTTGGCAAACTGTCCTCTTGCAATTCAATAGTGATTCCCATTCCATTCTGACCACAGCAAACTACCAACTACTGGTACAGTCCGCGGGTTGTTGGGCATGCTATTTCGTATGTGGTGTTCCAACTTTAGTGCTTGCTATTTATGATCGTAACGAA